TTTCTTTTCTTCTAATACACTTCCCTGAGAAAATTAAAACATTTATTAAAGCATTTATTAAATCTGGAAAAAGAATAAGGAGTTGTTGAAAAATTTGGTAATAGTTGTTGAACAATTTGGTGCTAGAACTTAGTTTTAATTCAGTTAGTTCATTTGGAAACATCAGGGAAGGACCAGATGGCCTACACAGGGCCATTCCTAAGAATGAGATAAAAAGTAGTTTCTAATATTATAAAACAGAATCTTGGAGAGAAATTTTGCCAGTGTCTTTTCCAGATGGGCCTAAATCAGGGGTTCTTAATTGGGACCCATCAACTTAAAAAAAATTTTTTTGATAACTGTGTTTCAATATAATTGGTCTCCCTTGTAATCTTATATATTTTATTTGAATGCAATTAAAAACATTGCTCAGATATGGGCCTATATGCTTCACCACACTGCCTAAGGATCTTAGCATAAAGGAACCTTTAGATGACATCTTTTAAGAAGGAAGCATTCTCAGATAACATATATGTTGGGTTTGGTTTCCAGACAACGAAATAATATAGTGAATTTGGTTTCCAGACAGCAAAGAAGTAAAAGAAAAATTATGCCCTTCTTTGACCATCATATTTAGCATTACAAGAAAGTCTATGGTACTGTAGTCCAATATAAAATGCCATTGGCCATATGTAGCAAACTGGTGACTTCACTGTAACAAAGTATTCCGACAGAGGTATGAGTGTGCTAAAGCTGCTATATCCCTTTGTGACATTATCACTTTCTGGTACCCTTTCCATAACACCTGCTCCTACAAACCAATAAGAGCACCTTCTTTAACCCACAACAGAATCTTCCAGTGGGGCAAATACTGCTCATTTCAAAGTTGAACAGCAAAATTCTATCAGGCACCAAACTTGTAGCCATTTTTTACATCTTACATTCAAATATTTTTGTCATGAAATAATTCCATGACTATTTCTTAGCCTTCTTATTAAATTTCTAACTGTCAAGTCAATAGAAACAAGAAAAAAAAATGGTAATGCAAATGATCACACAGATAGTTATGGAGAAAATGAAACCCTGAAGTTTCTACTTATTTGTAAAATTCTAACAAGATATGATTGTATTTTAGTGTCTCCAGGTTATTTATTTATTTATTTATTTATTTAGTGCATGGGGTGATGGGTCAAGGAGCTTCAGAAATATTGTCAGGGAAATTCCTTCGGTATGATCAAGTAGTTTCAAGGTCAGCGTATGGTAAGAGAGGAATTTCTTGCTTTTGTTTTCCCATAAATCTTTCAAAGTGAAACTGCACAATGCTCTAGACAGTTTCCCTTTGTTCCTTTTTCAACATTTTGCACTGCCACGGATCACCCATTTATTGACTTACTCTTTCTATGTGATTAATTGGCTTCCTTTTCTTCTAATACATATCTTTGAGAACTTTAAAATAGCATTTACTACATCTAGCAAAGAGTAAATAGTTGTTGAACAATTTGGTGCTAAAGCTTAGTTATAATTCAATTAGTTCATCTGGAAACATTGCGGATGGACAAGATGGCAGGTACCAGATAACCTAGGCAGGGTCATTCCTAAGAATAAGATGTAGTGAAACTAGGATTTGAATTAAGTCCTGACTCTAGTACTTACCAATTGTCTGACCATGAAGAAAAGTAATTTAAACTTTCTTTGCTCCTCATTTTCCACAGGGTCATGAGGAAAGCACTTTGTTATCTATAAAATGCAATATAAATGTGAGTTATTATTTTAGGATTCTAGGTTTAACAATTGGATTAATAATACCAATAACAAATTGTATTTTAATAAATCAATAAATATTTAATAAGCACTTATTAATGTACCAGTCATGGTGGTAGGGATTTAGGATACAAAGTTAAAAATGAAAGGGTCCCTGTCCTCAAGGAGTATACATTTATAGGGAGGAGGGCACACAAAAAGCATACATGAGAATAAGTGTACACAAAGTAAATACAAAGTAATTTGGGGAGCACTCAAAGCTAGGAGATCACAAAAGTCCTCAGGTAGGAAGAACTTGAGCCGAGGTCTGAAAGCATTGAAGAATTTTATCTTGGTAGAAGTGAGGATGGAATATGTTCTAGGCTGTGTGGACATCCTAAGTAAAGGCACTGAGGGAGCAATGGATTGTTGGGTGGATCCCTTATGTTGAACTTTTGGAAGAACCATGGGTGAGAGTCCCACAGGGGTGGTTATGGGTGAGTTGTGCTCTGCTCTGTGGAATCAAATTCCTAAAACTATGAGATCATTTCCACATGTATAATTGATATATTGTTTGCTTTTTAATGGGAGAGGCTGAAGGGAGGAAAAGAAGTTGGAACTCAAAATGAAAAAAAAAAGATTGTAAAAATAAAAAATAAATTAACTACTATGAGTTCATAGATCCAATTGTACTTGAGTGATAAACTGGAATCAGACTGTGAAAGGCTTTGAATACCAGAGATTTTCTTTGTTTGTTTGTTTGTTTTTATAGGCAATAGACAATTACTAGAGATTTTTTGAGCAGAGGAATGACTTGATCAGACTTGTGCTTGAGGATATCACTTTGGCAAATGTATGGAGGAAGGATGGGAGAGGGACAAGTTGGAGATTAGGAAACCAATTATGAGGCTTTAGTACAGGCTACATGCAAGGAGTGCCTGAACTAAGATGAGTGAGTGAAGTATGGTAGTGGATAGTGAAGGATAACTGAGGTTTTGAATCTAGGTGACTGGTAGGATGGTGACACCTTTAACAGAAACAGGAAATTAGAAAAAGGAAGGGCTTTGGGAGAAAGGTGAGTTGTATTTTGGACCTGTTAAGTTTGAAATACGTTATATAGAACTTTATACAGTTATAGATACACTGAGATCTGGAAAGCATTTTGTATTGGAAGGGATGTTAAAAGATCATCTATCTTACTATCGTGTTCAACTTCCTTCTATAATTGAGGAAAAGGAAGTGAAGAAGGAATTACTTGACTTGCATAAGGTCCTAGATGGCAGGAAGGCAATCTAGGGTACTTTCCAGGACAACACACTTTCTTCTTCTTTTTAAATATAAACATTTTTCTTTTTTATGAACATGTATCAACAGCTCAGTACACAATAAAAAAAGAGATTGTATCCAACCCCATACACTTTCTTTAAATATATTAAATTAAATAACAACTGACTAGGAGGCAGTTGTTTGTCCTTGCTTCTTGAAGAGGACCACAGAGATCGGGAAGGTGATGTCCTGAGTTGCAAGTGAATTGGATTTCAGTGAGGCAGGGCTGTGCAAAGTCACCAGCCCCACTGTCTCTTCCAAAGCCATCTGGGTCCAGTGGCCAGATATAGATTAGGACAACTGGAGATGTCCCCCAGGAGGCAGAATGGTACAATGGAAAACACGATATACGGTGGTTTAATGGAATGTGTACTCATGTGAGTCAGAGAAACTATTTTCCAATCCCCTCTCTGGCATTAGCGTGTGACCTTGGGCAAGTCACAACCTCCCTGGGAAAAGGTCAAGACCAGATTGACTCTGAGGTCCCTTCTTTGGGTGCTGCCCCTACGTCTAGACCTAAAACTCTAAGAGCCGGCTTCCCTAGCTCTGGCACTTACTACCTGTGGGTGACCTCAGTCATCCCACTTCAGTCCTCGGCAGCTTCTTTATGGGCTAAATGAGGGGCTGGGCGAGACGACCCCTTCCAATCCCTTCCTCCCTAGGCTCTAAAGCCAAGATCCTACAATCCCAAGACTCGGACAAATGGACGAGACGGTAATTTAAGTACTCAACAACAGTATTTCAAATCAACAAGCACTTATTAAGTGCCTAGTGCGGGCCAGCCTCTCATTTTACAGATGAGGAAACTGAGGTTCAGGGAGGCGGTGACTCTCCCAAGAATCTGGGCTAGAATCTTAACTCCTGTGAAGATGGGAGAAAGCACGGCTTCCTCCTCTCGTCCCTTCCTGGACTCCAAGAACAACAACTAAACAGAAAAACGAGCCACCCTATGTTAAAAGGTATTATTTAAAAGAAAACGGACCGGGGCTACTTTTTGTCAGAGGACAAAGTAAAATTTGGGAGTATTTATCAATCATTTCGCGAAAGGGCCAAGCCGCTTTCCCGGATGGTCCTGGGCGTGAGCCTCAACCCCTCCCCTCCCTGTCCTCGCACGGGGGTTCCAGGGGGCACTTCCGACCACCAGAGACTCCTGCGGACCACGAGGGTCTCCACCGCACCGGCCTGACGCTCGAGGGGATTTAATTACTACGCAACAGGATGCTCACGGTACCCGCGGCGAGCCCCGACGCCGGCTCTCGCAGCGTAATGACCCGCTGACGCACGGCGGCGTGACGACGCCGTACGTACGCATCATCCCGAGGGCCATATCCGGGACTTCTCGGAGAAGTATCTGTGTAAGAGGCGGGAGACCAGGGCCGCGTCTTTCCGGCCGCAGCCTGAGCACCGCGGACTCTCGTCCGGGTTGCTGGACGCGCGGCCCCCGCTTGTTGGAAGTTCGGAGCCGCAGGCCGGGGACGCCGAGGCCGCCGAGGCCGCTGCTGTCTACCGCGAGAGCGGAGCCTGGAAGCCCCGGCGCGCGCCTCTGGGCCCGAGGCGCGTCCCCGACCGGCGTGGCGTGACCCGCGCTGCCCCTCAGCCGCGTCCGAGCTCGAGGGGGCCACGTGTGTCTGTTTAAAAACAAACCCAAACTCACAGATATCCTAAAGAAAAGCCAAAAAAAAAAAAAAATTAAGTGCTTTTATCGCGAGAAGGGAAGAAAAATAAGAAAATGTCCCATTTCCCCAAAATGTCCTTGAGACCTGAAGTCGAAGACTACCTCAGGGCGAGCTTTAAAAATGAGGAGGTAGGTCGGCCAGCGGAGTGGTCAGGAAGTGCTGGATCTGAGAGGCCCAGGCGCCAAAGCGTCCGAGGGAAGGGACGCCGAGACCCCCTGCGGCGAGGGGAGGCGGGGGCCTCGGAGGGCCCGCCGAGCAGGACTGCGGGGTGCCCGGAACGGGAGGAGTCGGGGCGCGATCTGAGCGTACCCGAAGCAGCAGCAGCAGGAGCGAGCTGCCTGGGAGGGAAGTGATTAAGGTGGAAGGAAAAGCGAGCTGTGCGCATCGCGACCTCGCGTGCAGTGGTTGCCTCTGCGTGTGACAGAGCTCGTTTAGTTTGTGTTATTAAGATCGGACCAAAAAAAAAAAAATGCTTTTGAGTAAGGAGCTAGAGAAGATGAGGGTAGAGGCATCGCTTGGCCACCAGGTGGCGACGGGAAGCCAGGAAGACCTGTATTCGAATTCCACGTCTAATCACGCTACATAACCAGCTGGGTGACTTCTGCACAACTTCTTAACCTCTCGTCGCTCCAGGCAGCCAAGAGAAAGCGCTAACTTGCATTGCAAAGATGGAATTTCCTTACCCAAGAGTTCCCTATCCCAATGAAATCGAAGGTTGCATCACGAATTTAAGGTTAGGGTTAGTTGTAGATAAACTGGAGGGGACTTTAGAGGTCCTTTAATCCTACTGCCTCGTTCTGCAGATAAGGAAACGGGCTTGAGAGGTTGAGAGACTTGAAGATAATCACGCAGCGGTGCGGATGTGAACCCAGGTCTTCTGACCACAAGTCCACCTACGTGGTAACTTTACTTAGGAAGAGGTGGGGCAAGCACTGTACCCAGTGAAATCACAGATTTTTAAAGTAAGGTTAGAAATGAATGGACTTCCCAGGCTGGAAAGACTCAACAGCAGTGAGGAGTGAATAATAAACACTGTCCCTCATAGGATTCTCTAAAGTTGCAGATATTTGCATAGGTATTCAGTATGTGTTTTTTTCTTCTTATTATCAGACCACTGATTTCATCTGTTACAGAAGCACCAAGTAGAAGCCTCTGTCAAAGTAGACAGTTACCAGCTTTTGGGTGATTGCTTTGGGTTTTGTTTCCTTCTTTGCAATTCCATATTGGCATTTGTTTTGCAATTTATAGGCCTAGTGAGTCACCGGAGGCACAGAAGTTAAGTGATTTGCTCTGGGTCAAAAAGCTTGTGTGTCCGAGATGGAACTTGAACCCAGGTCTTTCACTCAACCATACTGTTCCCTAACGTTACTTAGGGACAAAGGGGATCCTAACTTTTTCTATATTTAATTGTTTTAAGTGAAGCTACCTTAGTGTTACTTGTTTTTAATATTTTGCATTTTTATGGGAGCTTTGAATTAACTTAAGAAATCAAGGTCTTGAAAGAGCCATTCAGTTACATTGGTCTAAATGAAAAGCAACTATTCTTAGTGCCAGTCCTCTTGGAGGAGTTCATAATGAAGAAGCATATATCCAAGTTCAAGTTTTATAAGGCCGTAGTGTGGTATAGTTGTGGCAACAGATTTGGAGACATAAGGCTTTAGTTTCACTTTATGCTACTCCTAGTTAAGTGACCTTGGCTAAGACACTTAACTTTTTTAGTTTTCCATTTGTAAAACAAGGTGGTGGTTTCTTCCACCTTTTGATCCTGCCACATCTAATGCCAGAAAAGGATAGATTACATACCCCTCTTCTAGTATATTTTCCCCTAAATAACACATTATTCTTTCATGCCATAATCAATTATAATAAAAGCTTGAGTAATTATGAAGATTACACATAGAAAGTTAATGAATGGTACTTTGAAGATTTTGTATTTAATTTCTCAGTGCTAATAACAAAAGTAGATGCAACAACATGCAGTGGAATTAAATCAAATGCTAAAACATGTTTCTTGAAATAGAGCAATAAGAAAATAAATGGTTCTCTTTTTTAGGACATTGTTTTAATTGAGTTTTCCATTTGAAAAAAAGTCAGTCTTGCATTCCTGTTTTTTTCTTTTTCTTTAAAGATGATAACTGCTTTAGGTGTTCAGGAAGCAGAAAGGAAATTTGAAGCCTTGTTAAATCACTTGTCACACCCACCAGCATTCACAACTGTTAGAGTGAATACTCATTTAGCATCTGTAAAACATGTGAAAGATTTGCTGCTTGAAGAAATAAATAAGGTTTGTTGAATTCTTTATGCATGTTAGTAATCGTAATCTAATGTTTGTTGGACTGGTGAAGCTTTTTACACAGCTATAGGATTATGGGCAAGAAATCCTTAAATTCTCTGGGTTTTAGACTTTCCTTGGCTTTGAAAGAATGTGTGTGTTGCTGGGGAGGAGGTTAGAGGGCGGATTCAATGATTTCTAAGGTTCCTTTCACAAAAAAAAATCTGAGATTTTATGAAAAAACGTGTCATGGCTATCTATGAGTTGATTCTGTCTTTGTAACTTTGATTTTCCCTTCTGCTTATCTGAAAGAGGAAAAAGTATCCATGGCTATCACATTTCTAAGTAGTTGAGGGAGACAGCCTCTTGGTTTTTCCTCCCAATAGTCTTTTTTTTTTTCATTACTTATAAAACTGGCAGAAATAGATAGTTGTGAGATCTGGCCAGTCATTTCTTTGAGCTTCCGTTTCTGTATCTATAAAATTTTTGCTTAAATGACTTGTACTATTTAGCCTACAAGGTCATTTTTTTAGCAGTCAAGTGAAAATGTATATATGCTTTGTACTGTTGGACTTTGTAAAGTGAAGCAGTATTTAAATAATGTGCACTATTATTTTTATTCCTTAATTTATTTTCAATGATCAAACATTTATTTATTTTTTCTTTTTACCTCCTTACACCCACTGGGGTGAAAAATACAAAACCTTGTAACATAAAAGTGTATTCAGACAAAACATATTTCTGCATTTACCATGTTCAAGAATGTGTTTCTTATTTTTCACATTAGTCTATCACATCTCTGTCATGATGTGAAGCATTTTTCATTATCAGTTTTCTAGAATCATGGTTGATCATTGTGTTGATCAAAGTTCTTGAATCTTTCAGAATTGCTCATTTTTACAATATTGATGTTACAGTATAAATTGCTTTCTTGGTTCTTCTCACTTCATTCTGTTTCAAATCATACAAGTCTCTCAGGTTTTTCTCCCTTTACCTGTAATACGGTAGCAAAAGTACTACGGAAGAAACTGAGAGCCTAACACACTATCATGGATCTGACAGGTTTCCAACTCTGTTTCATAGTGGTGTAACAATCACAAATATTATCCAGAGTTTAACATATCTATCTATACAAGTTGTAAGGGAGATTACTTTCTGACTATATACTATTTCTCTTCATTTGTAAAGTGTTTAGTAGAGGGCTTTATAAATGCTAGCTATGACTGCAACAATTGAAATCATAATCTTGTTCTTTTGAATACGGACTTGTTCAGAAATTATTCTGAAACTGAGTTTACGTATAATTCTCTGCAAGGCCAGCTTTGCTTAAGTCAGGGAGGCTCACCATTTGAAGGTTGGCCAGCAACGGATCCTTTCTTTTAACCACAACTCAAAGACTTTATGTTTACTAAGGCATGGAGGGTGTTGTGATCTGTATCTGTGAATGGAATCTCTGTGCAGGTGAATTAAATGTCTATTATATTACTCTTTAATAATTGTATCTGTTTATCTTAACAGCAATTTAATGGCTTAAGTGTTCCAATTCTTCAGCACCCAGATGTTCAGGATGTGTTACTTATTCCTGTAATTGGACCCAGGTTTGTAACAACTTGGCTCAAAAACCATATATTATTAAATAATAAGACTCTTTTCACTAGTGTGTTTTGATCATTTTTATGTTGTTTAATGATAGCATCAAGTTACTCTACCTTGCTTTAAAAATTTATCTTATCTCATCAGTGTTGGTTTGGGAAAATTCATATTAACCCTAATAAAGAAAATAGCTATCTAAGAAAGAGCCAGAATCATTGCAACGGCAAAGTAGAATTGGGCCTAGGATGCATTTATTTTAAATTGGGAGAAATGTGTTTTAGGTTGATGCTTATGCATAAGCAGTAAGGTTTGTCTTCAGGGAAAGTATTGTGCTAAAATCTTTTTCAACAACAAAAGTAATACATATTATAACTTAGATATTGTAAGATAAACACTAGGCAAATACTGTTATTTAGAATACTCTATCTTGATATTCTGGGATTTAAGTTACAGTATTAAAGACATGAGATGTGAGCTTTCCTTTGTTATAAGATATTGTTGAGGGGCATGAGGAAACTGAGGAAGGAAAGAACCATTTATTAAACACCTATTCTGTGCCAGGCAATGTACTAAGTCCTTTACAAATATTATTTAATCTTCACAGTAACCCTGGGAGGTAGGGACCGTTATTTTATATTTTACACTTGAGGTAACTGAGTCAGACAGAGGTGAAGTGACTTGCGCAGGGTCATATGGCTCAGCGTCTAAGGCTGAATCTGTACTTTGAGTTTTCCTGATTCCAGGCTCAGCACTCTATACGGTCTTCTAGCTGCCACCAAATTGATACTGTATTTATCATGATCATCATTATTATTATTCTATTAGTTTCTGATTTCCTTGTGGGTCATTGTGGTCTAATAGAGAGCTTGCCTTGCTGGCAGGGAGGCCTCGATTCAAGCCTCGCCTCTAGCCTCTACTACCTGCCCCTGGGTGCCTACCTTATCCTCCCAAAGCTTGAGGTCACCCTGAAGACTCTAGGTGCAGCCAGGTGCGGATCTGCAGTGGCAGCAGAGGCTCTCCTGAGAGCTCTCTTTGCCAAGGACATCTCATGGCCACCCCCAACCCTTTTCTGATTCCTCAAAACTGTGCTGTAGTCCTTCTTGCAGCCAGTGTGCAGCAGAGAAAATCCCCCATTAAGAAATCTCAGCCTTTCTTCTTGGAACACATCTGATATGTTTTCAGTAGTCTTTATTAAGTGTTTATTCAGTGTCCATCATATGGCCAGCCCTGAGGAGGGGGGGGTGTGTACAAAACCAAAAGGGAGACAGTCCCTGCTTTCAAGGAGGGCGATACAGCATAGATGTGATTGGAGGAAGGGGTGCTCAAAGGATGGGGCTTGAAAAGTTCGTTACTATATAAAATTAATCATCTCCTTGGGATTTAGCCATGCAGCTGCACATGTAGTATTCCTTAAGTAGAGGTTATTGGTTTTGAGAATCACTTATCCTCCACCATCTTTCATTTGTCTCTTATATTCTTAGGGACTGGACTTCTGATGTCATTGGTTTGGGGAACTCCTCCTGGGAGGAACTTCCTCTGCTAATAATGTAGGTTGGCATCTTCACTGTACCTTGCAGTTTTAGTTGTCTAGAGGTTTCGAAGTTGGGTGACTTGCCCAGGTCACACGAAATCTGTGTCAGAGGCTAGACATGTATCTAAGTATTCTTGGATCCTTGGTTTTCTTTGATCCTTTCAGGCAAAGGCCTTCTTAGTATTATGAAGGCCTCTATTGCTTTTTTTTTGTTCTTCCAGTACTCTGCCGTGTACAGATATTCAGGAACTGACACAGTGTTACCTGAGCAATTTCTACCACTACCTACCACATGGATTTTTTTTTCCTTTCTAATATTCCCCACCTCTTTTTACTACTTTTACTTTTTTTCTTTTATTCATTATTTCCTCTTTCTCACTCACCATTTCTTAGCTGGCAGTATTTCATGGTTTTACTAAGCCTCCGTGATAATACTTGAAGCTGAAAAGTTGCTTTAAAAAAAAAAGCCTGGAGTCGGGAAAACTTCTCTTCCTGGGTTTAAATTCGGTCTGGGCCCTTACTGTTGGTCTGACCCTGGGCAAGTCACTTAACCCTGTTTGCCTTAGTTTCCTCATCTTTAAAATGAGATGGAGAAGGAATGGCAAACCACTCCAGTATCTATGACAAGAAAACCCTGGATAGGGTCACGAAGAGTTGTACGTGACTAAAAATAACTAAACAAAAAGAGGAAAACTGGAATTTGAAAAAGCTTATAGACTTTAGGTTACATTATTCTGTTTAACTTTCATGGTCTTATATTCTTAGGAAAAATATAAACAAGCAACCTTCTGAAGTCATTGTTGGACCCCACTGTGGTAGTGCTGTGCTAAGGGGAGCACATGTCTACATTCCAGGAATCCTGTCTGCTTCAAAATGTAAGTGCACATTTTTGTTTTTGAGAGAATTATTCAGATGTGTTGGTTGTGTGCCTTTTTCTTCTAATTATAAATTTCCAATAAATTTTGCCAAGCAAAATATTAGAGTTTAATGCACATGATTAGGGTTGGGGTTATCCTTTCTTCCTTTCTCTACTCCCTTCCACACCTGCAGTTCTTGGACCTTATGGTGTTACTTGGTTTCACTAGTTGGACTCAGTGCTTTCTTAGTATTCTTCTATTTTGTTAGAGGTTAGGATTTATTACTTCAGAATTGGTGAATGACGTGTTTTTTTCAATATAAATGTTCTTCAGAATTGGATCTATTTCCAAATAGAAATCCTACTGATTTATCACTGAATAGGTGGGGTATATGTATGTGTTTGTGTGTATGTGTATGTATGTGTATGTATGTGTGAGTAAGCAATGTTTTTATTTGATTTTATGACTTCATATTTGTGTGTGGCTTTTCAGTAATACTAGGTACACACACATTCTCATAAACTTTTATAAGAGTCTGTAGATTAATAACTAGATTGAAATTGATTATGTTTGGTTTGATTATTACTTTTAACATGATTTGAATAGCACAGTGCTCAGCTCATTCAAACTGAGTGAATTTTCTTTTGATTTTGGTTAGTTTACTGCCAGCTGCAGGAGACTGCATGAAATTCTAAATTAAAAAAATAATAACACTGGATGAAGGACAGGGGAACATCAGATTTGTTATTTTTAGACTTTAATTTTATGATCATTAGTAGTTTAAGTGTTGCCTGTTTTAAAAAAAAAGATTGTTATGTATTTGCAAATTAAAATGTGAAAAAAATGTTTCATTTTATATAATTAATGTTTGTTTGCTAAATTGTTTAAAAAGAAAATAGCTAGTATAGCATAGCCTGTTATTAATCGAACAGCTCTAATAGTAATTTCTTGGGGGTATGCTTTGATTTTTAGGCATTTAATTTTTATTTCGTACAATTACCAATTTGATTGCAATGTTTTCATAATATATAATTATTTTTCAGTTTACACTTAAGTTCCTTACATGAAAGACTTCAAGAAAACAATTTTTTGGAGACATTGGACGTAATATTTGCATCACTCACAATTTTGAGAGACAACGTTGTGTAATCATTACATGGCCAACCTTAGAGTCAGAAAGACCTGGATTCAGATTTTGCCTCTTACACTGCTGTGTGAAGCTGGGCAATTCGTTTAAACTTTCAGTGCCCTGGACAGCCCTAGAATAGTTGCTGATCTCCCTTGGCAGAAGGAACAAGTCCAAACCAAATAAAATTGTCCCCATCTTTGCAAAAAACAAAAACTAGCTAAGTTAATTTAACTGTAGGATTCAGTGGCAGAGTAGTGTGAAGATTGCAGATAAAGCTGAATTACTTACCTCGGGTCTTTAAGACCTGCCCTGTATGAACCAGCAATGCAGTTTGGCATAATTCAGAACCTATGACAGTTCCATCTGGGAGGGAAGCACACGGAAGTTCTTTAGAAGTGAACTGGTTTGCAAATAGTTATAACTCTGTCATGTGTCTGAAATGATAAGAAGGCTTAGAGGCAGCATGACACAAAGAAGATAACTGTTTCACTTATGTCTGGCAGATAGTTTTTGCCAAATCTTCTAAAATTGTATTGTCTGTATAATTGATATGAGCGCCAAACCAATCTTATTCCTTTCAACTTCACCCGCTTCTTTTTATTGCTCCCCAGCTGATTAGGCTTAGAGTAAAAATATCTTCTCATGGCAAATATACCTTAATTTCTTCCACAAACATTGCCTCTTACGTGAACTGAGAAAAATTTTTTTTAAAAGAGAGACCAGAAAAGAATCCTAAAAATATTGCTAATTGGCATTTGTCCAAGTTTTTGAAAAATTGAGAATATGTGTCTATAAAAGTTATTTTGTTGTATTGACTCTTTCTCAAAAAGTGGACTTGGAAAATATTTGCATTCAAATGGTATTTACTGAAATAGGATTTGACCTACAATAATATGTTACCTTCTTCACAAGAAGGACGTAAGAAATTTGGCCTTCTGACATTTCTTCTTTGAAAGAATTGCAAAATTAACTGCCATTAGTCCTGATCTAAAAAAGTAAAACCTGATTTTTTTTTGGTCAAGGACAGAATTAAAATGATGAGAAAAGTTTGGTTTGATGCTTGAGAGATCTTTGTAAAGGTCTCTTCCTTGATGTTGATTCTTCTTTGAAAAAGCACGATTTAATGGAATCTTTTAATTTGCTTCTTTTTCTAGTTATGAAAGCTGGAGATGTTGTCTCTGTTTATTCTGATATTGAAGGAAAATGTAAAAAAGGAGCCAAAGAATTTGATGGAAAAAAAGTATTTCTTGGAAACGGGATTTCTGAGCTGAGCCGCAATGAAATTTTCAGTTTGACCAGTCCACTGAAGTATGTTAAAAGGTGTTTTATTAAAGAGCTATATTCTTTTATTTATTTAAAGAAAATTAAAAAATGTTTAATTATACTCTGAATTTCATTATAAGAGGGAATAAATTTATTTAATGTCAATTTGTCTAGAAAGCAGGACTTAGAGGGCAATAATTTTTAAAGAAATGAAATTTCTTTGGTATAAGAGTGATATAGTCAAGTCAAAGAAGGCAAGCAAATGGCTACCTTTTTATTTGCCATGTTATTTTTATTTGATGAAATAGATTTGCTCTATGTGTTTTTTTCCTTCTTCAATTAAAATATTTACTAAATATGTTTGAAGGGAAAGAACCTATGGCTAATCACTGGAATTTTGTGAAAAGGCACGCTTTTATGATTTAAAGGTCATAAATAGAAAAAAAGATAGAATTCATATAAATGGTTAAAGTAATTCCTACTTCAGTTGATCCATGATCTCATCAGTGTTCATACTTCCTCTGTTAGAGCAGACTATAACCTATCCATGCCTCCCAATCTCATGTGACATATTCACATGGCTAGCTAGGTGAGCTACCAGGCCTGGAGTCAGGAAGACCTGAGTTCAAATCCAGCCTCAGGCACGTACTAGCTGTATGACCCTGGGTAAGTCACTTAACCTTTGTCTGCCTCAGTTTTCTTACTTGCAAAATGGGGGTAATAATAGCACCCATCTCTCAGGGTTGTTGTGAGGAGCGAATGAGATAATATTTAGAAAGCACTTAGCATAGTGCCTGGTACATAGTATAAGTATTATATAAAGTTAGCTATTATTATCATTGTTGATGACGTTCTATACATTTTACCGGTGATCCACCCGGTATACTTATGACATGCCTCTTGCTGCAGATGAGCTTTCCACCTTTTATCCTTCCCTTTCTCCTTGTGCTCAACTCATCCCCTTTTCTCATCATACATAATTTTTCTCAGATTTCTTATACAGCTTCTTAGGCACAGTTACCATACTTCACCTTTGAGAATACCTGCAATTTCAATTTTTTGGAGATTGTAGTATTTCATGATTCCCAGCCCCAATGTATTACCAGAAGAACATTGGCATTAAGATGATGGGCTTTAAAAAAGAATCTTGGAATTCTTGAGAGTGTTAATGCCATTTTCCAAATTCCATCCATCTCACTTTCTAATTCCTGATTCCTCTTTGTCCATTTGTACTGTCAGTCCAAATTACATCTATTGATGACAAAGCTCAGAATCATAGTCTGGTTCAAATTATATCAAGATGGCATCAGTTCTTGATCATTAATGTAGAAAGAAGTAAGAAGTAGTTTACATAAATTAAATTCCCATGTAATCTTTAAACCTTATTTAATCCTCATTTCAGCCTTCAGCCTTTTCTTCCAAAATTTTGTCCATAACTTTGTGTTCATGAAGTAAACCATTTAAATGGATACATTTGAAGACTGTAGATAAACCACTCTTGTGGATAATGGCTGCAGCTCTGTCTCTGGTGGCAAGTTTCCTTGGTTCTAGCTGATAGAAATGAACTATTCTGGAGGAAATGGAGACTCCATCATTTGGACTTTCTGTGTCTTTCAAAGTCAGATATGGCTTTATTTCCATGACATTTTTTCTAAAACAAGGAATAGTTCCATATGATATACTATATGCATAGTATATGATTATTAATGGTATGAAGAGTCTGTGTATAATAGTATACATAAATAACAGGGATCTGAACATATTTTTAATACTTCTTTTAGAACACCATAGATGGAGTACTCATTTTCTTTTCCTCTTGGCTCATTTAAAGCTCTAGGCACTATGCTGTTTGGTTTTCTGCCCTTATTTTCTATGTGAAGCTGTGTGCTTTGCAGAGGGCAAACAGCCATACCTTTAGAATTATTTTTGTAATTCAGTCTTATTCAGCCAGGTTGCTATAATTTCTGTCTCAGTCTATTGATATGCAGGGAAAAGAAAAGCTTCCACTGGCCTATGGTGTTCAGATTCTGTTCTCTTCCCTTTTTGGAAAGTCAGGACATTTACTTGTCATCAGTCTGGTGATACCTCTCATGTTTTCCGAACAAATGAAAGCTTTCCAAAAAAAGATAAAGATATGGTAAAACCATAAACACTAAACTTAAACACAGTTTCCCATTTATATTATTTTTAGCATTTAGAGATGAGTTATCTTAGTATACTGATGGATATAGTTTATTATCCAAGCAGCAGTGTTGGGACACTGGTTTCACATGTTCCAGCTGGCTTAAATCAGCTACAATCACAGAGATAAATAAACCTGCTTTCAGATAATTTTCTCTGCAATCTTATAAACAGGCCTCCTCTACATTGGGTTTATTCATTTGACATTTAAGAATATATTTGATTATATGAAAGTACTGTTCATCTGCTAAAATAATTTAAGCAGACACCCAATTTTCAAAACACTAAGCAACTCAAGTTGTAACCAAATTAATTAGCCTGAGACCTTCTATTCAGGCTATTCCAAGGCAAAAAGTAGATGCTAAATGTTTTCCAGTGCACAGTAAATGGCTTATGTTTGACTCATACCAGGCTGCTAGTGGCTGACGGAGCTGGTAAAATGGGATTCAGAACCAAGAGTATTGGGACATATAGCCAGTAAGCTTAGTACTAAAGGTCCTTAAATTACTAGGAGTCTAGTCAAATCCTCCCTGCTCCAGGGCCAGTGCTCCATCCACTGCTCCACCTACCTGCCCCTTTCCCCTTCTTGTTCCTTCTTAATGTACAGTGTTACCCATTCTTCTTTTACCTACTTTTTTTTTTTAAATAAGGTATATCCCTTCTTAAAATAAGTTATTTCAGTTCATCAAATCTCAGTGATCTCTATGAGATCAATTTTGCCTACTTATGTTAGGACCTATAGTTCCTCTTGTTTGTTGCCTAAACTTTGGGCATTTATGTATAGATATTCAAAGCCATACATTTTAAAACGGTCTACTTTTGTGCATTTTGTTGCCAGTGAGCATCTATGTGTCTGAACTACTTTCCTTCCTTCTTTGTTGTCAGTCTTTACTGTGTCTGACTTGGGAGCTGTACGTAGGCAGTTTTGTTCACCTCCATCCCTTTTCGTTTGTAGTCGTCATACTTAGATTTTACAAAACATCAAACAAAGTACATTTGTACTAACTTTTTCTCCCAAAACCAAACCAGACAAAACCTTACACTCTTCTGGGTTTCGGTTTCTTGGTCAGGACTCTATAATCATTAGTGATACTTTCAAAGTTCCTTATGATAATGCCATTTGTATCTATGTTAATCATCAGAAGTGGGCAGCTTTCATTCATTGGGGGGTTTCTCCTGTTATATCTTAGATAGCTGGAGGAGACAACAGATCTTGCTATTGTTATTACCACATTTACAGGTAGCTTTCTCAGTCAATCCTCTTCTTCATCTGAATCGTATTGGATGATCTTATACCTAATAACTTCTGATGCCCAATGTATCATTCTTTGGAGGACAAGCAACTTTTTCCTCGTAAGAGCATAAGAACTCTCTCCTCTTAAGTAAGTCTCATCAGTTTTTAATGTCTGTCTGTACAACTGTCCTCTTCCTTCCTTTTCTCCTCTTCTTCTTTTGTGTAATACTCTTTTTACCCTTATGCATCCTGAGAAGGGTTTTCTCCTAGGTTCTGTCTCAGATCCTTTTTCCCCCAGTTGGAGTCTCTTTTCTGTTTTCTTCAGAGCACTTCGTACCCCTTAACAGTAGAGTATGGAGAAGCATTCTTTGAGTACCTTTGACTTCTCAAAGAGGGAGATCAGCCTACATTTGGAAAACTGATAACACTCAGTTGGCTGTGGTAGAAATAAAAACATTGCAAACTACAAGTTTACTGTACAATTTCCTGGTTCTCCAGGAAGGTTGAGATTCTCAGCCTTGTTTCTTTGATCTACTGATAGCTTACACTTAAAGGGAAGGGTCTGGTTAAAACTTCTTATAGTCAATTATCGCCTCTTAACAACTTAACCACCCCCACTCAACTTCCTTTCCTTAATCTAAACAGCCTCTCTACCCCCACATCTCCCTCCTATTTAGACTTGCATCAATTTCTTATCTGTTTTATCAGTTGCCCAACTCACCAGGTTAAGTCAACAAGCCTGTTCTGTGGCAGGCATTTATATTTATTCCTGCTACTTTTCTCTTTTATAAGAAGTGATAATACTCATAATTTTCTACCACTCTTCTCTCTAGTATTTTAAAAATAAGTTTTAATTCTAAGTGGTGGTGTCTTCTCTCTCTGCTTGACAAAGGAGATCAAGTGTTTTCAGGCCATAGCAGTTCCTGGGTTCGCTTGGCCTTTCCCTTGTGACAGCCGCTTTAGATTGGTTAAACTTTTGTGGAAAATGATGACAGTCATGGTCAGCATTTTTGTTTTTTTTTTGTTTTTTTTGTTTTTGTTGTTGTTTTGTTTTTTTCCTGTTTTCCACCTTTTGGCATTGATAGCTCATTTGAATATGTCAGGTTCAAATTATTGCCATATTTCATTGTTTTCTTTTTACTTTTACTTATTCCCTAATTTGATGTTGTCCTTGGGTCCAGTTATATACAGGTATTTGATTCTGGTATAATTCCTACTTCAGTAAATAATTGTCTTGTGTTTGTTAAGAAAGTCCTTTTCACTTTTTGTTGATGTTTGTTGGTTACCGTGCTGAGAACCTTTCCCTGTCTCTTGGAACAAAAAAGTATTCTTGATATACAGGCACAACACTTCTGAGTTAGGTTGCAAGCCTTTAACCTCTTAAGTTTCTTTGTTAATCCTTATTTTCTAACCTTCTTAACCAACTTCCTTTATGCCTCACTTTGCATTGAAGTTACCAAGTATCAAAATATGTTGTTTTATTTTGGAGGGTCTTATTAAATTCTTCATAGAATTTTCTTTTTCATTAGATGTTGATATATAAGCTGCACATATTTTCATAGTAATTTTTTCTTTTGCTCATGAGTACTGCAGACCAGGATAATCGGGTGTACTATGAAATCATTTTATATTTCCTTTGGATATAATGATGAAACCCACTTTATCAATTCCTTTGTTTTCTTCTGTAAGGAGAACCCACGAGCCATCCTTTTCATCCTTCTCATTAGGGGTAACATCTTTTTGTCTGCTGACTTTATTTTTAGAATTTCATTGTTGATTTAATTCAGTTTTTCCAGCTGGTATGTCAAAATCTTACATTTAGAGTACCTAGAGTTCAGTTAATATTTATTGGATCATCATAAGTTTTATTACTACTTTAAGTGTCACATTAAATATATATAGATATAGATTCAGGTATTCATTGCTTTCAAGTTCATTAAAAGTTTGGAAAATTTTATCTTAGTGTCAGTTATAGTTAAATGAAAAATTAACAAAACAAGCACATTCCCTTGAAGAATTTTCTCTAACATTATCCCACAAAATTTCTAGCAAAAATTAAAAAGAATAAGAATAAATTTTTCTGCTGACTCTACTGTTTCAGGATTTTTCCTGGGGCAGTATTCTCTGGGATTTTCAAGGTCAATAAGGGAGGGTGAGAGCTACTTACTGCTTACTCTGCCATGTTGGCTCCCGGAACAAGAATAAATTTTTCTTAAAATTTTTGGGCTGTATAAATATGAAGACTGAAAAATGTATCTTTGTTATACTATGGTGGCTGTTTTCTTAGAAATGTAAACTGAGTATAGTACATAATTTAAGTCAGATTAATGTAAGGATTCCTACATTTCAGAGGCATAGGTATACGAATGACAGAACCAGTGTATCTCAGCCCTTCATTTGACAATGTACTGTCCAGTTCCTTGTTTTTGCAGGTAAGTATCCACATAAATTATTTTGTGATATTTAAATATAGAGTAAGGCCTAGAATGCTATCCTTTCTCATCTCAACTCCTAGAATCCTTGGCTTTGGTCAAGACTCAACTTCTGCAGAAAGCCATTTCCCCACTTCCCTCTAACTTAGGTTATATATTTTTCTACTTTGTGTATTTCTTTTTTGTATATGATATCTTCATTAAAATGTAAGTTCCTTGAGGGCAGGGACTATTTTCACATTTTATTTGTATTCCAGTGTTTAGTACAATCTCTGGCACATAATAAGCACTTAATAAATACTTACTTGATTAAGCTCCTGTTTGGTGTTGTAAATCCTACATGATCTGTTTTCATATTTTCCAACTTAATGTTGGATTAACAGTAAATATTTGTAATTTTTCAACCTTTATCCTTTTTTTTAAACTCTACCAAACTGCACCCAGAGATGTTCTAACACTTGATTTTGTTATGACCTACAGTTGTTTTACTTTGTTATTCATGCATTCTGAAATCTCATTATTTGATCATAATCTTTTATCATTTTCTTTTCCTGTGCCTTATGATCTCTAATCCTGTTCTTTGTTCTCTCTGTAACCTCAATCCCTTAGTTATTTCCTAGGCTATCACCACTCCACTGGCTGTACTCTCCTTCCTTCCCTTTTTGACCTCTTGGTGAACCAGTTAAACTGTACCCTACATTATAATTTCACATCTTTTGCCCCATTGTCCTTTTCCTGATCCCATTTTTCCAATTCTCATTCTTGGATTACTCCCATCATTTGCCACCTCTTCTCATATTCACGTGCTGCAGAACAGAGCTGAAAAAAAATCACAAATGTGTTGATTTGGATCTCTTGGAAATTTATAATACATACTCTCAACTGGGCCCTCATTTGTGTTATGTCTACCTGATTGATTTGCTGTCCCACTCACCACAGCGACTGGTCCAGTCATTTTTTTTCCTTCTCAAGCCTCCCTCTGACTATTCCTCTCTATTATCTCTCTTCCCATTCTCAGTTAAATTCTTTGAGAAAGCTGCCTTACACAGTGTACTTTTAAAACCTCCTCTCCTCTCACTACTTTGTAACCTTTTGCCATTTAGCTTCTGACCTTGTCATTGAATTAAAATTGCCTTCTGCAAAGTTATTGGTGATTTTATAATTGGCAAATTTAATAGTCTTAATTGTCATAATCCTAGTCTTTCTTTCATTCTTTGCACCGTTGCACCATCTCCTCCTGGAGACTTTCCCCTTTATAGACTTTCATGAGACTTCTCTCTCCTGGTTGTCCTTCTGAATGTCTGACTGATCATCTTCAGCTTTCTTTGTAGGGTGTTCATTTAGGACATGCCCACTAACTGTAGGTATTCCCTAGAGCTCTGTTGTAGACCTTCTGCTTTTCTCTTTATAGGAGGGGTTCTTAATCAGGTTTGTGAACTTGCTTTTAAAAAAATATTTTTATAAAATTGGTTTCCTTTATGATCTTAGTTATATATGTATTTAAAATGTGATTCTGAGAAGGGGTCCTTTGGCTTCAAAAGACTGCCAAAAGCATAAGAATATCTGTCCCACACCATCTCATTTAGTGATCTCATCAACTTTCATGGTTTCAGTTATCATTCCATGCAGATGAATCCTAGTTTTATATGTCTAGCTCTCATCTCTTTCCTGAACTTTGGTCCTGCATCATCATCTGCTTTTTGGACATCTCAAACTGATGTCCCTTAGGCATCTCAAACATAACATGTCTAAAACAGCTCATTATCTTTCTACCCAAACCTTCCCTTCTTCCCAACTTTTCTATGACTGTTGCAGTACTACAGTCCTTCCCAACATTTGTCACACTTACTCCACATATTCAGTCTGTTGCTGGGTCTTGTCCTTAATACCTTCACAACCTTCTCCTGTATGCATCTGCTTTTCAGGCCCTCGTCGCCTCACACCTGGACTATTGCAGTGGCCTTTTGGTCTCTCTTGCCTTATGTGTATTCTCCACTAAGCTGCTAAAATGATTATCCTGAAGCTGAGGTCTAACTGCATGCCTTCTACCCTCCCCTCACTCCTAAATTCCAGTGGCACCCTATTACTTCCAGGATCAGTGATAAAGCCCTTTGAAACCTGGCCTTGTCCTCCCTTTCCAGTCTTCTCATACTTTACTCCCCGCTACACTTCTGTATTCTGGTTACGTTGGCCCACTTGCTTTACCTTTTACGTGCCACTCCAAATACTGGCTCCCTGCCTTTGTATCGGCTGTCTCCTTTGCTTGGACTGCCTGCCCTTCTTACCTCCATCCCATGGCTTCTCTGATGTCTTTCAGGACTAAGCTCAGATCTCACCTTGAGATCACTTTCCATCTGTTCTGTTTATCTCATGTTGTGGAGTTGCTTCAGTCGTATCCCGCTCTTTGTGACTCCATTTGGGTTTTCTTGGCAAAGATACTGGATTGGATTGCCATTTCTGTCTCCACTTCTCCAGCTCGTTTTACAAATGAGAAATTGAGGCAAACAGGGTTAAGTGACTTGCCCAGGATTCACACAGTTAGTGTCTGAGGCTGGATTTGAATTCAGGTCTTACTGACTCCAGGTCTGGCTCTCTCTCTCTACTGTGCTTCCTAGCTGCCCTTAGGTATATCTAGTTATTTACATGTCTTCTGATTAAAATGTGAGCTCTTTGAGAGCAAGAATAGTGTTTTTTTCCTCTTTGCCTTCCCAGTGCTTAGCATAATTTCTGTTAAGTGCTTAATAAAAGCTTGTTGATTGGCTGCTTTTAAATTTTTTTCCTGACCTGTAATTTCAAGTGTGGGGATGTGCATTTGCACAGATGAAATCACTAGTTTGAACCATAAAAAGGTGGGAGTGTGAATTCCATTGTATCAGCTACCTCAAATAAGGTACACTGGCAGCTCATCTCCAAGGCAGTTATGTGGTGCCACAGTCCACAGAGCACTGGACTGGGAGTGAGGAAGACATGAGTTCAAATGCAGCCCCAGACTAGCTGTGTAACCCTGCACAAGTCACATAACCTCTGTTTGCCATAGTTGCCTCAGCTGTAAAATGGGTACAAATAATAGCACCTGCCTTCCAGGGTTGTTGCAAGGATCTAACTAGATATTTGTAAAGCACTTTGTACAGTACCTGACACATAGGAGACACTTAATAAATGCTTGTTTCCTTCCTCTGTTCTTGTGTATTAATTTGGATCTTTACTTTAACAAGTCAGTAGTCTGACTGCACACATCAGTAATCAGTTGCTTACTGTCTCTTAAAATGTGATGGGTGGGGGCAGCTAGGTGGTGCAGTGGATAGAGCTCTGGCCCTGGAATCAGGAGGACCTGAGTTTAAATTCAACCTCAGACACTTGACACTTACTTGCTATGTGACCCTGGACAAGTCACTTAACCCCATTGCTTAGCAAAAAAAAAAAGCATAACAAAAATATGATGCTCTCTGGTTTGTGATGCTATATCTCTGTGTGGTAGGAACAGTCTTTGTTTTGGGCTGCTGGCGAATGAGGCACCCTAGGTACCAGCACTGAAGAGTGGGTGGGCTGCTCTGCCTGAGTATCACTAAGGCTAGGATTGCATCCATGCCTGGACAGCAATAGCCTTTTATCTCTCTTTTAAGTAGAAGTTTTATTCTTTTTCCCCCCCACATAATAGTGTTTTATTTTTTCCAGTTACATGTAGTTTTCAACATTATTTTTATAAGATTTTGAGTTCCAAGTTTTTTTCTCCTTCCTTCCCCCCACCCCACAAGACAGCAAGCAGTCTGATGTAATAATACATGTATTACATACAGGCTATACACATACAATCATATGAAACGTATTTCCCCATTAGCCATATTGTAAAAGAAGAATCAGGACAAAAGGGAAAAGCCTCAAGAAAGAAAAAACAAAAAAGAGGAAAATAATATGCTTCGATCTGCATTCAGACTCCATAGTTCTTTCTCTGGATGTGGATAGTATTTTCTATCATGAGTCTAGAAGTTTTATTCTTTCAATTTCTTTTGGTCAGTAATTTTTTAAAAATTGCATTTGATGTGCTATGAGTATCCTGAGCCTGAATTTCACTACTTTAGGCCTGGCCTGGAATAGGGTACATCAAGGCTTCTGCATGATTAAACAGTTTTTAGGCTTCTTTTGTGCCTTTCTCCTGATCTGTATTTTCCAACATATTTTAGATGTCTAAATTATTCACTAATTTAATTACTTTATGTCATTTAAAAACAAAAATTATTTTCTTGTTTACCCCTTACCCCCACCTCTCAACCATTAACTCTATTACTAAAGAAGTATTTTGGACTCCCTAGATATTCTGTAAGCATTTCTGAATACAAGCAGTCCTTGGTGAAATGCCTACATGTGGCTAGATCCAGAATGACTCAGTATTTGAGTAAACTTGGTAAAATTTAAGCATTAAAAACAAGTAGTATCGTTGCTGCTCTTCTTCCACATTTCTTTGACAAATGATAATTAAAATTGGGGGAAAGAAATGTGAGAATTGTTCTAATACTGCTCTGGGAGAGGCATAATTAATTTCCTCCACCCCTTCCCCTCCCTGGGCTGCTTCATCTACACCTTGATTTTCATTCCCTTGAAAATCAGAATTTCAAAGGGATTGAATAACCTTGTAAATGTAAATTGATTTAGTTGAGTGTGTTTGGGAAGCTCAACCCTCTAACCTCCTGGCTGACCCGAGTTGTATGGTGATGCGTTTGAGTCAGGGATAGATCTGTGTTTGTATTCTATTCCAGACACTGGTTCTGTTATCTTGGAAAAGTCATTTAACCTTTCTGAGCTTCAGTTTCCTCCACTGTAAAATGGGAATAAAGGTAGTTGTGAAGACCAAATGAGATTAAGCATGTTATGTGCTTTAGAGTCCTATGTAAATGTCATACCACTATGATTAGTAGTGGCTTTAGTAGTAATTGTCCTAGTCTTCTATAATAGATAACTTGAGATTTTAGATTTTGTTCTCATTTTTAGCGGGAAAAAACTACATTCTTTCCAGATAATATCAGAAGCATAAAAGAATGTTTCACCTGTTTCCTTCCTTTAATCTTGTTTTAAAAAAAATTATTGGGACAGCTAGGTGCTGCAGTAGATGGAGCACCAGCCCTGAAGTCAGGAGGACCTGAGTTCAAATCCGGCCTCAGACCAAACGCTTCATATTTACTAGCTGTGTGACCCTGGGCAAGTCACTTAATTCCAATTGCCTTAAAAAATAATAATAATTATTGAAAAACAGTGGTGGGGAAAAATCAATAGTGAGTGCTGCAAAATTACAAATTTCAAACATGGCCCAAAAGAAGAGGTGTGTGAAGACATTCTTACCACACTCGTTGCAAAGAGGTCTACAAATGTGAAACATGGCATATATTTTCAGACTTTTTCAATTTGTTGGTTGGTTTTGCTGATATTTTTCTTTTCCTCTTCTTAGATATTATTTCTTTATCTGTGATAGCTCTCCGGGAAAAGGAGGGATACTGGGACAGATTCTGGTGTTGTAAAAAACAAAACATACTAATAAAATTTATTTTTAAAAAGGAAAATAGTCATGGGAAGCAGGGAGGGCTTTAAATGTATCTTTGTACTGAATTCAGATGTAGAAAAAAACAAAATTGTGGTGCATATTCACTTTTTGTGATAACACCCATTTTTGAAAGCCCTGGAATGACCAACAGTACACAATGGGAATCACTTACATTCTAGATAATGCAAATTGGTCACATTGCCAGAATTTGTTATATAAGTATTAGAAAATTTACTTTCAAGTGCTAGTAACTAACTTTACTTGGTATATTCAGTGGTGGCCATTGATGATGATAGTTTGGTGAGGGAAATTTTATGGGGAGGGAAAATTTGCTTGTATTTCTTCTCATTGTTAGGACTTAGGTAGATGTAATCCCTGGAACTTGTGATAGAAGAAATATATTTGTATGCATTTTTAATATGATGGCATTCAAGTCATTTCAGTGGTAATCATAATTAATTCAAAATTATTTAGGAGGATTATTTCCTTATTTTGCTCTCCTTAGAATTTGCCTTCTGCAGTGGTAAGCCATGTTTTGAATCCTCACCCAGGAGAGAAAATTCTGGATATGTGTGCAGCACCTGGAGGCAAAACAACCCATATTGCAGCATTAATGCATGATCAGGTAAGACTACTCTCAGGGAGATTACTTATGTTTAAATGAGGAAGGTTTTGGTCTTACATCAACTAAGAGGTACCTTCTAACCTCTGACGATGAGGATTAATTGATTTATTTTCATAGTCAAAATGAACAGTTTAAAAGTAGTTATAAAAGTGAGGATACATTCGGTTCTGCAGAAACCTTAAGTAGATCCTAAATAGAGGAGTTCTGTCTTTTTTTGTTGTGAAAACTTGGAGTAAATTATGTCATTGTCAATTATGTTTTTTCTTTATTTTCTTGGGAGCATCATAACCTTTTTCTCCATTGTTGGGGGCTGGTAGGTGGGCTGCATCAGGCTGATAGCATTGAGATTAGAAGAGAAGTAACTGAGGCATGAGATGCTGCAGAGGTGGAGTTGACAAGAGCTGTATCTGAACAGCCAGGAGAGGTGAAAGGCAGAGAAGCGTCACAGCTGACAGGGTTAACACATGATACTGCCCCGACGGAACTAGCAAAATCCAAAGGAGGTGCAGGTTTCGGGGGAAGGATAATGAAAGAAATAAAGAATAATAATTGGTGGTAGAATATCAGTACAGAGATGTCCTCCAAGAGCAACTGGAGATGTAGGTCTGGAGTTCAAGAGACATGTCTTGCTTCTGGCCCCAACTTGCTGCTAATGCAACTACCACCTTAGTTCAGGCCCTCATCATCTCTCACCTAGATTGTTGGCAGCATCGAACGAATTGGTCTCTGTGCCTCATTTCTTATCATTTCCAGTTTATCCTGTACACTGCTGCCAAAGTAATTTTCCTTAAGTGTAGATCTGACCCTGTGACTGATTCCTATACTCAACCAATTCCAGTGGCTTCCAGTTGCCTCTAGAATATAAGCTTCTCTGTTCAGCTTTTAAAGCCATACAAAACCTCATCCCAGCCTAACTTTATAGCCTTATTGGATGTTATTCCCTCTTCGTACTCGCCAGTCCAGTCAGACTGTTCTTCACTCTTATTCCTATCTCTATATTTTCCATCCACCCCTTGCTTTTGTACTGGCTATCCTCCATGCCTGGAATGAACTCATCTTTATCTCAGCTTCATAGAGTGCTGCTTTTCCTTTAAGATGCAGCTCAGGCTTTCTGCAGAAAGCATTTCTCCATCCCTCGTACTGCTAAAGCCTTCCCTCCCAAATGCCTTGTATTTAACTACTCTATGTGTATAAACTTTATATTTATACTGCATATATTTGTATATGAAGTTGTCTTCTCATTAGAATATAAGCTCATTGTAAGTAAAGATTCTTTCATTCTTTGTTCTTGTATCCCTTGGTGCTTGGAACATAAGTACTTGTTGATTGATTAGAGATAGATACTATATAATCTCAACTGGGATCTGACTACTGCACTCCAATCTTTATTTTTCTTTGATTGACAGTTATGCTTCCCACAAGATTCCTACACCATCTCTTCCCTCTCCCTTTCAGAAGAAGCTTCATACCTTCAACTTTACTGAGATAATTAAGGCCATCCTTCTTCTCTCCATTGCATATCTCTAACCCCTCAAAACATCTCAGAATATCCTCCATTCTATCAAATCATCTTTCCTGATGCTAGTTATACTCCCCCAGCAGTGCAAGAGGAAAGAAACCTCACTATCTGGGTCATATTCTATTTTGCATTGCCTAAGATAGTTATATACATTTTTTCTGGTAATTTGTAGTACTTATTAATTGACCAGATAAGTGACATTATTCAGGAAAACAAAATATTACATTAGAAAGGTGAAATTCTGGAATGGGCATGGAACAAAATCCACTGATTTGCAGGCTCAGGCTATTCATTATTACTATTTTCGCAGTCCATTTATCTAGAATTTTATTCAGATTTTTTCTGGACAACTCAAAATATCATGTCAAATCATCTATTACAGAGAATTGCCTTTGTAGCTAATCCTACTAAATCACCTCAAGGAAGAGATCTTATGAATAGAAACGTGGATATATGTAGTGTAATTCTTTGAGGATTGGGCAGTCCTATTTCAGCAAACAGTTAATATGAAGTGCCAGGAGAACTGAATTTACATATGCCTTGCTTTATGCTGTGTTTATGTTTTATGAACGTTTGTGTTTAAATTAAACCCATTTTAAGTATATTCATAGTTTGCTATTTAAGGTAACCCTAAAGTGGACCATTTAAAAAGTGAAATTCACTTGAATTTATGGATATGGATTCTATATTTATCTAAATAAAAGTGTATCTTGTAATTATTGATTTTGTATTAGCAAAATGTCTTTGTAAATAGGACACTATAGTGAAGTTGCATAGAGACAACTTAGAAAAAAATTAGCCAAAAATCTAATTCCAAATCTAACTTTATCTGTATCAGCAATTTTTGGTATTTTTGTTTTCAGTCAAATGAAATAAAAAGGCATTTTGGTTAAGAATAAGAGGTTGTTTTTTTGTTTGTTTGTTTGTTTTATTTTAAATAAAGCCCTTAGAGAAGGAGATTTAACCATGTCCTCCCCACCCCATTCCAATTTCTTAAATCTTTCTTTGTCAGGACATTATTCTTAATGACTAGTTCATATCTTTTGTACTGCATCTTGAACTCATTTCCTTCATTCCTGTTCTTAGTTATCAAAATCTATATCATTGTTCCTCACATATTTTAAGACTATTAAATCAATTCTTGTCACCAAACAAGATATTCCCAGCCTTCACTAAAAGTATTTTTCTTTAACCCTTTGTTTTTTAAATCCTGTCCATATTCCTTTGAGCTGTGGAATATGCTTCAGTAAGAATATGAAAAATGTTAAATAAAATAGGAATGTCTTTAATATGTCAAGAGATCTCTGATTTCATTGGCGTGAATACTCTTTGGGAGAGGCTAATGAAGCTGTTACAATTAATTAGCATATTTTAGGTCATTGATGCAAGTACAAAAACGATAAAAACAAGGTAATAAATTTAAAAGGTCAGATCTGCTTCATATTAAGTCCCATTTACTTAATGGGACTTTGAAGAGTCATGATTTCATTAGTGTGGGTACTTATCACCTCATACAAACTTCTTGAGAGTGGCAGCCATGGCATATTGCATAGAGTGTTGGACTTGGAAATTAGGAAAACCTTGGTTTAAGTCGCATTTCAAACACTTAACTTGCTGTGTGATTCTGGGCAGTCATCTCTAAAATAAAAGGGGTTAGACTTGACCTCTAAGGTCCCTTTTAGCTATACTTTATAATCTTAAGATTCTTGTGATAAGCCACTCTCTCTATAATGAGCAGGAGGCATTGATCTTTGTATGATAGAAAATGATAGAGCTCACTATTCATTTTATGTAGTGTTAAACTTTTCTCTCCTTTTTTTGTGAACGTGTACCATTTTTACTGCACAATTAACAAACCACAGTATTTGTTCATTGTAATGTACTTTGGCTTGTTTTTTGTCTGATTTCAACTGTAACAATTCATATAGTTATATCTTAGAGAATATGTGTGCATATTTATGTATGTGTGTGTATGTGTATATATATGTATATGTACATATATATAGGTTGTGTATGTATGTATATAAAACACATAGATTAAGGAAATTCTTGAGCCATGGTAAGGATTGATTTTAAAAGCAAAATGAATAAGCATCCAGTACATGTGTATCTTAGAGTTAAGGCAATAAGAGCTGAATGTTGAGTTTTGTTTTTCAACGAGTGAGTAGGGTACATTGTTATCCAATAAGATAATGATTGTTCTGTTTACTTCTGGAAGATATATTTCATCTCAAAGTTCCTTTTGGCATTTTGCAAATACTATTATTATACTTGTTTTTCAGCTTTGATTAAAAGTAGCTTGGCATTGTGTTTACTTTTCCAGTTTTATTTAGATTAAGAGTATTTTCTCTTAAAGTCAAGCTATCTTTCAAGTCAGCTAAAAAAAAGATAAAGTGTACCCTGTTGGCAAAAACATGTTTTATAAAAGAAAAGCACTAAAATGTATGGTTAGTCATATGTTTAGTACCTTTCCTTACTATAGTAGTTTATGTGAAATGTATGCATTTATTTAATGAATTTATTCTTAAAATTAGGAGTAGGGGGAGAAAGACTTTTTTCTCATGAATTTTCACATATTGTTAAAAGTTTTAATGACTACATTGGATTTATATTTCATTTAAAAAATTTCTGTAGGGTGAAGTAATAGCACTGGACAAAATACCCAACAAAGTAGAAAAAATAAAGCAAAATGCTGCATTATTACAGTTGAACTGTATCAGGGCCTTCTGCTGTAATGGGAAAAGGGCACTTGGGAAGGCAGAGCATGGACAAGGTAAGGTTTTTTATTTTAAAAGCTTTTGAAACTAGATTTTAGAGATAAATACTAACCAAATTTTTGTTAGTTGTGTTAAAACCACGTTAACATCTGTAAGTCTCTGAAACCTTGATGATGAAAACAGGGCACTTTAGCACAGTGGGTTTTCCTTTTCATTTCTTCATTATCCCTTGTTCAGTAACATGTACTTGAACACTATAAACCCTCTACCTCATAGAGGCGTTCATTTTAATTCCAGATATCACAGAAGCCTGTTATTATTGAAGCTTTTTTTTTTGTTGTTGTTGTTGCAAGAGCTCAGCTTCTTAGCTTATTTTCACTTTTTTTAAGTTCTTACATATTTTGGCTTAAGATGACATTTTTAATGTGGTGGCCACTGTATATGTTTTTAAAGATTATGGTAAATTAGTACAATTTTATATATGTCATTGATGGAAAAAAATTTTGTTATGGAAATCTTTATAGATTTTTAAAATTTTTCATTTGTTTGTTGTGCTTCCAGTTTCATCCTTAAGTAGTCTGGGGATATTCTGGCATAATTGGGTCTCTCACCAAACTTTATATAACCCTATTTTTATTTCTCTTCAAGCTGTTTTGTGACATTATAAAGCTGATAATCTTCCACAATCCTATCTGTAAAATTTTTGTGAATGACTTTATATTTTAAACTGGTGGTGTTCTTGGCTGTCCTATTTCTAGGCTTGTCAAGGGAATTGATTACTTGCTAGTTAAGATAAAGCAGTCATTAAGATCATGTCTGAATCTAGGTCATCTAGCTCAACTCGGTCATGTGCCTTGGAAAGGATGAAATATTCTCTTCTCCTGGCACCTGCATGTCCTTAAAGATTCTTATTTTGACCATTTTCTCTTCTTTCTTAAATATTTGTTGGTCATCTCATCTGATCCCTTACCTTCACGTGTCACCTCTGTGTATACGATTTTCAAGCCTATACCTTCACATCAGAGTCATCCTAGGCTTCCATTCCTGTGTTGATAATTGCCTGCTAGATTTTGCCACCAGACCATTTTATTGGCCCCTCAAATTCAACATGCCCAGTATTAAAGTCCCTATCCCCCAAAGCCCGGCCTTTCCCTTGCCCTCCCACATTCCATCAGTTGTCAGACCTTTCTCTTCTGCTTCTTGCTTGTGCCCCCTCCCACCCATTCTCAGTGCAGCCATCAGCTTGTGTCCAGCTCCCCAGCTGGTCTTTCTATTGCCAGTCTAGCCTTTTTCCAAACTCTTACTAATACACTGTCTGAACCATCTCAGTGATCTGTAGAACTTCCTGCTACTCCTCATGGTCTGCCAAATAGAGTAGAGAATGCAGGAGCTTGGTATTCCAGAGCCTCTGTCCTCTGCACAGAAACCAGTCTTGTGGCCTTTTCTGACACTACAGCTTTACACACACACACACACACACACACGCACGCACGCACGCACGCGCGCTAAACTGAATCTTTCTCCATCCATAGTTTTTTTAACCTTTCCTGTTTTCTTGTGCCTCATCTCCTTTCCCAAACTTCTGATACCACTTTATAAGGAATCACCTTGTGCTTTTCTCACTATCCCATCTATTATACTTATTTGCATGCATCCCTTTTTTGGCTTATTATGAAGTAAACTACTTTTGAGAAGATTCCAGGTTTAACTGTCTTTGTATCCCCAGTGGTTATTGCAGTGCCTTGCATGTAGTAGAGGCTTATAATTGTTCGCTAATTGAGACAAGCTAGAAGAAGTAGAGAATGGGTGAAGATAAAAAAGAAATTTTGAGTTTAAGAGTATAGAAGTGTATAGAGTATAGAAATATCAGATGATCCTGAGGCAGTGTGGCAGCATAGTAGATTTCAGCCTTGGGCCCAGAGTTGGGAAGACCTGAGTTTAAATCGTGTCTCAGACCCTTGAAGCTGTGTGGCCCTAGGCCAATCACTTAACCTCTCTGGGCTTCAATTTCCTAATCAGTAAAATGAGAGAATTGGATTTGATGGCCTCCTAGCTCTAAATCTATGAGCCTAAATAAATAAATAAAGGTGGTGGGGGAGGGTTGAGGGAAAGAAAAGGGAATAAGCATTTAGATAGCACCTACTGTGTGCCAGTCACTGTGCTCAATGCTTTATAATTGTTATTTCATTTGATCCTCACAAGAACCCTGCAAGGTTGGTAGGTGCTGTTATGGTTCCCATTTTAAAGATGAAGAAGCTGAGGCAGGCAGAGGTGAAGAGACTTGCCCAGGGTCACACAACTAGTAAAATGTCACAGGATGGATTTGATCTCAGGCCTTCTTGACTCCAGTCCCCATGATCTCTGTCCAGGCCACCTGCCTGCCAGATTATGATTCTACCAGACAAGTAAGCAGGGGTGTCCTGCTGAGTGTGTGTGTGTTGGGATGGCAGTGTGAGAAGCGCAGAAGTTTGGAACAGCACTGTGAGAAATGTGTGAAGTAGAGACAAACACAGAAATTTCTAAGCGGTGCCGAAGGGCCGGGTGACCCCAGACAGCCTGGCTCTGGTGTGGACCCAGGCAGCTTGGCTGTGTGGCTTTCTTTAAAGGGGAGTGAGTGACTATGAGCAAAGGATGCCCGATAGAGCTTTACAGTTTGTCAGGTACATTCCATGGGTTACTTGTTGGAACCTCACAGCAGGCCTTTGAGATGTGCAATTATCTCTGTTTTAGAGACAAAGAAACTGAGACCGAGGCAGAGGTTGAATGACCTACCTGATTCCCTGAAAGTCAGAAAGGTAGGAGGAAAGGGATTCTTATGCAAGGATAGTGTTATACTAAGAGGTGACCATGTGGTCTGGATCATCTAGTGAGACAAGTTAAACTCTGAGGGAATTGATGCCTGAGAGAACATGGAGGGAAGCCTTTAGGGATCAGAGATCAAAAGGAAAGTGAAGGAATGAGAACTAGGGGAGCTAAGGAGGTTATAGTCTGAGCAGAGGAACTCCATTCTAAGACATGGCTCTTTCAGTGTATGGTTGGAATAAGGTCATCAAAGGTGAAGGCTAGAACCACATCCTCAGAAACTGCCTCTTTGGGGTCTTTTTCCTTGGTTTGTGCCATGCCAGAACTTGAGTTGCAATGGTCTGAGACTCATTTAAAGTTGCTTACTGGAATTGGGCTACAAGATATCATTTTCCTAGACCTTCATATGACATTAAATTGTAATAAGCACACATCCCAAATACTATTACAGTTTCAGTTTTTAAAGGTAAGTGTTCTACATGAAATCTATGTTAAAGTTTAAGCCAGTGATAACATATAACTTCTTGGGTGAGATGAAAAGCTTTTCTCTGTTATTTTTGCTCTTATTGATCTGTTATTACTAAATGTCTTTTCTCATACTTGTAATATTTCAGCAGTCATTGGTATCTGTTCCAGATTTGTTAGGGTAAGTTGGAGACATACTCGTAATTTCAATTACAGGGGGACCACCATTCTTACCTGAGTCCTTTGATCGAGTTCTTCTTGATGCTCCCTGTAGTGGGATGGGACAGAGACCAAACATGGCTTATACTTGGACTCTAAAGGAAGTGACATCTTATCAGCCATTACAAAGAAAACTCTTTGCTGTGGTAGGTATTAATCATTCAGCTTCGTTTCACTAGTTTTACGTTTCAAAGAGGCGTATTATTAGAGGCCCTAGTATAGGTCCATGTAGTTAGTTCCTCTGAATGTTGAGTAAACCTTATGAGTAAACTATGACAATAGTTATTGCTATATCAGTGATACCTACAAAAACTTTTATACATTAAACTTCAGCCTATTGGGAAATAATTAAGTGACTTAAATAGGGTCACAGAGCTAGTAAGAGTTTGAGGCCAGATTTGAACTTAGAAAGATTCTGAAGATCACCTGGCAGGATATGATACCAGACAGTAAGCTCCTTTCTTGAACTAAAATGCCAACCATTCAAATTTTACTGCACAGAGTGCAACTCCAATGGGCTGGCCATGTTGTTCAAATGCCAAATGTATGCTTGCCTAAAAGATTATTTTATGGAAAACTAACGCAGGGCAGGCACTCACATGGTGGTTAGAAGAAGCAATACAAGGACACTCTCAAGGTCTTTCTTAAGAACTTCGGAATTGATTGCGTGACATGGGAGACACTGGCTAAGGACCGCCCAGCATGGTGTACCCTCATCAGCGAAGGTGCTCTGTGAGCAAAGCAGAATTGAAGTAGTTCAAAAGAAATGTGAGATACACAGATTTAGAGAATCCATCCCAAATGTTCCCATGTACTACTTGTGCCCAGTCTGTGGTAGAGCATTCCAAACTCATATTGGTCTGATCAGCCACAGTTGGGCACACTCTGACTTGACTCTAACATAATGATGTCATTTTGGTCCTCTTTGAGGACGAAGGACAACTAATCATTGGGAAATAGGCTTTCACTATAAAAATGACCAATTCATTGGTATAGAGAAACATAATTTACACCTTTTAACTCCTATCCAGGAATAATAAACTGATTTCAGAATGTAATAATCAGTTTGAACGATCTACTTTTTTTAGCTGGTTCTCAGTCCTTTAAAATTGAATATGAGTAATACTTTCTTTGTGGTGACTTCATTGGTTCCCATGAAATTTCTCTCTTCTCATGGATATGTAAAGGCTAGATTAGTAATAGAAATAAGAAAATTTTCTTTTTCTGCCTGTTTCCCCAGAGAATTTTCTGTTTAGCTTTCCACAGGCTTTTGTTCTTGCTCAAGGGTTGTAGTGGGTGGATCATTTGTCTAGTTTTCAATTGAAGGTTGAATAGCGTACAGCTGAGAACCAGAAAGTTGCAAAAAGCTATGAGCAATGAGGAAAGTATTACCACAAAGCTTTACTTTTTAGATAAGGTATGATTCTGTCTTGAGGACCTCATGGGGTTTATTGACATGGAATTGTGTACAAAATAAGTACTGATTTAACAAGATTGGTGATTTCTTAGTTACGTAAGAGCGAGAAGAGTTACACAGTGAAGAAGATAGAACAGCTATAAAAGCATGACAGTCAGGAGCCATTTATCATAAGGATAAATAGTCCTCCCTAAGTTAGACTTCTGTCAGTGTTCCTAAAGATGATCATGGTGGACTTGAGTCATCCAGAAAAAGTTAAATATGCTCAACATGCACGACAAAGTCACTGTCTATATTCTGTTTAATAAAGCAGGGAAATTAATCCTTTAGAGGAGAAGTTTTTTATTCATTCAATTTACTATACAGTAAATTGTGCCCTAAAGGGTACCGTCCAGTTTTGCTTTGTTTGTGGCTTGGTTCTTCTTAAGCTAGAATTACTCAAAAGTATTAGTAACTACTTTTGTTATTTGTGTTTTCTCCTCTTTCATCTTTTCTTCTCTCCATTTTGAAGAGAAAATTAAGAAGAAAATTTTTCTTGTACAATCTTGTCCTGTCTCTACATCTTCCACACCTCTTTCTCCTCTTTGGCTTTGAAATGGCAGCCACTCTTCTCTAGAAAGGTTTATTTAAATATATTTTGTCCTTGTGAAGATAAATGATTACAATAAAGAGCAGACAGATGATTGCCACTATGGTAGAGACAGAGTTGATCTCTTATTTATTACATCTTTCCAGTTGCTTATCATTTGTCTTGTTTGGTTTCCCTGTGCACCATAAACTCTATGAATTGAGATGATAGCATTTTCTCTAGTACCAAGATTCTTCAAACCTTAAATGGGAAAGGAAAGGACATCTTAAAACATACGTTTCACACTCATTTGCACATCATTGCTGGATTCCTGTCCTTCCATCACTTCTCTAGCTGCTGAAAGCAATCTTTAGTTTAAAGTGGCACTTTGTAGATAATAGAGGAATTACTGAAGGAAGGAATTGTGGTTTGGGAAATGTGTTTTCCAAACGATATTGCCACCAATCAGCTCAGTCCACGTTCCTTAGTAAATGGGGTTAAGAGTTCCAAAGATTAAAGAAGCTTGCCAAGAGTGCTAGCAGACTGGAACCTGAATAGTCCATATCAGATAACTTACATTTTCTTCTGTTTTCCCAATCATTTGATTTTGTTCTACAAATCCTTGCTGTCTCATGGAATCATTGATTTTTGTTTGGTCCGTTACAGTTTTCAGGGAGTTTGTTGCTTGGGTCAGGTTTGTCGATTTTTCTTCTCAGCTATTTCTTTCCTTCCAGAGCTTTTATTTCATTTTTGATATTTGGCTTCATTTTTTCCTAGGTATTCATGTAGTCCATGTGGAAAAGCAGCTTTCCCTTTGGGTCTGTGCTTGTAGTTGTTACAGAGTGATTATCTCTTTCTTTGGAGGATCTTTAGATTTGCAGTAATTTTTGGTGCTGGTCAGTGTTTCCTTTAATTTACTCATTTCCAGCTTTAGGCCTTGTCCCGTCATACACTTTTGGGGAGGGTGGTTAACCCTACATCATGTGGGTCCCTGTACTAACCCATTCTTTCCTCACCATGTCTTTGAACCTCAGAGCTTTCCCTGGCAGGTGTCTCAGGACAAGGTGCTAGGGACCCAAGAGTACCCGGGTCTGAGGTATCCCAGACTAAGTGCTTCTGCTACATGCTGGCCCCTGCTTTGTACTTCCCTGATCTTCATTCTGGGAGCCTTCTGATTACTTAAGAAAGCTCTCTGCTCTTAACTGCCTCTGCACTCCTAGCCTTGCAGGCTTCATGTGTCCCTGGTGGTCTCTAGTTCTGCTGGGACTGCTGGGGAGGGGGATACTTTCTTACTGCCCTTGAGCTTCTCACTGATCTTTTGTGCAGTTCTGCAGTAGAAGTGACTTAATGGAGTGTCTCATTGGATTTCTTGATCATCATTTGGTTTGGTACGAACTTGAGGCTTTTGCTGGTGTTAGGTGGACTGCCCCCTTCTCAGGCATCTTGTAGGAAACACTGGGAACTTGGATACTTGTGTGGAAATTTACCTTCCTCCATCCTGGTTAGAATGAAACTGCTTGGTAGAGAATGGAGAAAATCATTGTGGTAAATATGCTGATTATTTAAGAATATCTTCAGGTGGACAATAATCTAATTTAAATGTGTGAGCTTTTGGGTGGGGCAGGATGGGGGTGAGGAGGGAGATTGAGATGGGGCTCTAATACCAGTCAAGTCAAAAAAAAGGCTGTCTGTCGCTGTGTGCTTCAAACCCTTCACCAACCGCTTCATACTTTTACCTGGAAGCTCATCTTTTAAATCCTGTTAACCTGTTCCAGTTACCTAAAACTTGATTTTGGTAAGTATTTTATTCAGACTAAGTATTAAAAGGTATTGATTCCTTCCCATGACTGTGTGTCCTCTAGGCAGTTCAGCTGCTAAAGCCAGGGGGTGTGCTGGTCTACAGCACGTGTACAGTTGCACTGGCAGAAAATGAAGAACAGGTCGCTTGGGCTCTCAGGGCTTTTCCATGTCTCCAGCTTCTGCCTCAGGTAAGGGGGAGCTTCGGTTTCCTCTCAAGTATTTGCTAGCTCGACATACCTAGGAGAGAAGAGTCTTCTGTGTACAACTTAACAGAACCCATGGTGGACTGTACAGTGGGTTTCCCTAATTGCAGCCAGGGAAACCCAGTCCATAGAGAATTGAGTTACAGGGAGGGAGGATTATGTTTTCAGGATTTTTTTGGTTAGCCTGGGCCATTCTAGTGAAAGCCACAGAGATAAGTTGTATTTCTGTTATGGACCCTGAGATTAATTATTATAGTTGTAGCTCTTCTTATTACTCGGTGCCTTGAATATTTTCTGAGAAGTTTTTTGTTTTGGGGTTTTTTTTTTGCCCTTTTCTATAAAATGCTTTATTCCTCATGGGAGAACATGGTGCCCAATCTTCCTCTTGTCATTTCAAAGCTAATCAGACTTTATAGCTGTGTGACATAGAAGAGTACACTCGCTAAGGGGGGAAAATGATTGAGAAGTCTGAATTTTTTTGTAGCTCATTATATAAGCTTTTACAAAATTTGCACTCGATTGAACCTAGAACAGTCAATATGTTCTATAGGATGGTTTTAATCTGATAACTTTCATGATTACATTTGTACCTGGTGCTATTTGGGGTTAAGTTTGATCCTGGAAGAAAACTCTTATTATTCCAAACACATTAAATATTACAAATTCACTTCTGTTCCTTATGTGGGACCATATAGAATGAAGAAAGGAAGGGAATAAACATTTCTATAGCAGCTGATATGGTCCAGGAGCTGTGCAGAGTGCTCTACAAATAGTGTCTCTTTTGGTCCTCATGACTACCCACAGATGTAGGTACTGTTATCATCCTCATTTTACTTTGGAGAAGAACTGAGACAAACTGAGGTTAAGTGTCTTGCCCAGGCTCACAACTAATAAGTGTCTAAAGTCATATTTGAACTTAGTTCTTCCTGATTCTAGGCCCAGAGCTTTATCTACTGCACCACCAGCAGCATCTGATAATAAACAAGTTTAAGCAGAGTTAGCACCAAGACAGTGAAATGCTAGCACATCTTTAGAGTAATTTCATAGGGAATCTCCAAAATATTTTTTATATACGAATGGCATTTTCTGTAGTTGTTATAGTGGAAAGTGCATTGGACATGGAGCCAGAAGTCCTAGCTCCACTTTTTACTTATTGTTTTCCTTTGGGTAAATTGCTTACTCTCAACTCCATGTTCATCCTCAGGTACTGTCCACAGGGAGTGTTATGAAATCATAGAGGCAGAATTTTGGAGACCCTAAGAGATCATCTGGTCTCAGGCTGTCATTTTATTGATGAGATAATCTGTTAAGTGCTTTGTAACTAAAAAGTGATAAGTGTATTATTCTTCTTCTAGTTAGCATCAAGTAAACTACTTTTTCAGGAATGTCTTTTATGAACACACCCATATTGGCATTGTAAGAATCAAATGTTTGTGTTTTGCATATTGTTTTCATGTTGTGACATGAAGCAGTGATTTTTGGGCTAAGAATTTGCCGTAATAGTATCAAAGATAGCTCTCTCAGGGTTATGTAATCTTTTTTCCCAGCTAGATGTTGTCTTAAATGATACATTTTTTTCATAAGTTTTTTGTTTTCCTGAGACATAAAAGCCCTTTTGATGTTTTCTTACCACTCAGGTGCTGTAGATCAAAGAAAAGCACTTTTAAATTTGTCATAATATTCCTTGGAAATTATTATATCATTGCTCCTTGAGATTCTGATAGATGAAATGTTATGTCTTACTGCAAACATGTAAGGGAGAGTAGGTCCTGCTACTTCTGACTACTGTTCTTGTTCCAGTTTGCTACCCTGGAAAATACAAAAACAATTCCTCCAAAATAAAGGGACTTCACTATGCTTGTTTAAGTACTTTGTAAACTATAAAGCTCTATGTAAATGACAATGTGAGCTTATATTGTAAGTAGAAGAAACGTTTTGGTTAATGTCATCATCTGAATTTAGCCTATATTTATGTTGAGGTAACTTAATGTAATTAAGTAATGTGAGTTAACATATGCATGTATCAGTTACAAAGAAATAAGAAACATGACTTGTAATAGTACTTGATGACTTTCTACAAACAGGAACCACATATTGGAGGAGAAGGAATGGTAGGAGCTGGCTTATCACTTGACCAACTGAAGCAGCTGCAGCGATTTGATCCATCCATCATACCATTAAAGGATACTGACATAACCTCTGTTAGAGATGCCAGGAGAGAAGACATGATCTGGTTAGCAAATAAGGACTGTATAGGTTTTTTTATAGCGAAATTTGTGAAACGTGAAAGCTTTTAGGAAAAGAATTTTCAGAAGTCAAAATTCCACCAAGTGTTTGCTGCATAAAAATATTATTGCTGCGGTGTTGTTAAGCCAGCAGACTGATAATATGGTTGCTATGGAAGCAGGAAAATGTGCCAGTTTTTCTTTAAGAACCGAGTCATAGGTTAAAGAAACCAAAGGGGTAGAGTGAGATTATGTTTATGAAGAATTCATTTTTTACTTATAATGTTTTAGACTACAAAGAAGATACCTTCAGATATGTGAAAATATCTTCTTTGTTGGTCTGTTTTTGTTCATAAGGAATGTGGTATAGTAAATGTCAGATTATATTTTCTACAGATTTCCCTTTTAAGTGCATATTTAATGTATAAATCACTTGGTTACATTAAAAATATTTTCTGTTCACAGTTTTTTTTAATACTATTAATGTATAAGGAATTCACATTTTTCTGTGTTTTATCATTTCACTTTTTTCAGCTGTCACTTGGTAAATCTTTTCTAACTGAAATAAAATTAATAGTATTTCTGGAACACTTCTAAATGATTTGATTATGTAACTTTTCATTTGTGTTAAATATGCTGTAATTTTTCTTGTTCAGTTGTTTTTCAGTTACATCCACTGTTTAGGGTTTTCTTGGCAAAGATACTGGAATAGTTTGCCATTTCCTTCTCCAGCTCATTTTACACATAAGGAGCTGTGGCAAACAGTGTGAAGTGACTTGCCCAAGGTCACACAACTATTAAATGTCTAAGACCAGATTTGAACTCAGGAAGATGAGTCTTCCTGACTCCAGGCTGCGCACTCTATCCCTGTATCACCTAGCTACAGTCAGTCATTTCTCAAGATTTTAACTACCAGGGAACTAACAGGTTTTTCAGGTTACAGTTTTGTGTTTCTTTGTGAATTAATGTCATTTTTTCATTATGACACAATTACTCTTCTGCCATATGATAGAATATATCTTGTTTAAGTTAATGTAAATATTTTAGAGGCCTCATGACACAGTCTACCAAAAAATTTTGTGATTTATGCTGCTTTAGGGAGACATATGCCTGCCAGAGGTGTTACCTCTGTTAGTAGGTCTATGCAGAATCCCAGTTGAGAAGGGATTCCCTGTAGATGGTGAAGTCTTTCAGATGCTCCTATTTGCAGATGACGTTCTGACTGCATCAAGTCTTGGAACATTGCAGATTGTCCTAAATGAGAGTAATAATTATTCTAAAGAGTTTGATCTAACTAGCCACACAAGAAAACACAAGCAAATGAAAGATACTTCTTGTCCGGACTACATCCAAGTGAATGGACAGCATATAGAACTAAACAAGAAACCAGACAGTGAGTTAGGCCCAAAGTGGAATAAAGAGGAGGACAGCCTGGTTTGTTTTAGGGAAATTGCAAAGTTCTTTCAGTGACCCTGAAGCTTCTCCCTAAAACAAGGTCCATCTTTTTAATACCAGTATCCTTCTGACGATGGGTGGCTGTGAGTGGAAGAACTCCAAAGAATCAAAGTTGATGATCACCTAAAAGGCAGTCAAGAGGCACATGGTGGGCATGCACAGGCTGCAGCACATTACCAAGAAGGGTAAGTTAGATAGAAATGTATGATGAAAAAAGATGAGTTGGTTATGTAGGGGGAGTGAAGGATAACCAAAAGAAAGACTCTTCTCTATCAGTAGCATGCTCCATTGATAGCCTTGTGATGCCAAGGAAATTGGAGGTAGACCTCCCCTTCCCTAGCATTTTGGGTGGGTGCCCTTTGGTGAAATCATCGGGCTGAATGGAACAGAGTTGCCCAGAATGAGTAGGCTTACATGGGTTACATTCTGCATCTTTGAAGGAAGGAAACAAGCACTTATTAAGCACCTGCTGTGTGCCAGGCACTGTGCTAAGTAAGCAATTTACAGATATCTCATTTGCTTCTCTCAACAACTCTGGGAGGCAGGTGCTATTGTTATCCTTATTTTACAGTTAGAGTTCACAGCAGAGGCAGACAAAAATTAACTTGCCCAGGGTCACACAGCTAGTAAGTGTCTGAGGCCAGATTTGAACTCAGGTTTTCTTGATATTATCCAGGCCCAGGGCTCTATCTGCTGCGTCATCTAGCCGCCTATCTTTGGTGGAAATACCGACATCAACAAGATTATACATCCATTGTAATGAATATGTTTTTCCTCTTAACTAATCTTAAATGTGAGCAAAGAAGAATTCTTCATGAGAATGCATTTGAAAAACTCAGGAAAACAGTCTGCATATTCATAGTGTTTTGTTGGACAATAGTAGAGCATTAGGAATCTGCATCATCTTTAGGGCAGAAACTGTTTTCCT